AATATTTTCACTGTATTTCTTTTAGCACTCAGTGTTTGCATTATTTTATTAAACTATATTTGACAATATAATTGTGGTTAAAAGAATCTGTTTAAATAATATTTATGCGTTAAGTAAGTGCTTGAATATATTTAGCAACTTTACGTACAAATTTGTCATTCAAACAGTCTTTTTAAATTTTAATCTTATGCTTCAAACTGCTAATTATTATAGTCTGCAGTAGTACATTTTAAAAATAAAAGTGATAAAATTCTATATTAGCTATGAAGCAATATATATATAGTTTTCATTATTGCTGGTGCCTATATTTTATTTTGAAAACAGCAGACAGTTTTTGTCAAGTATTAGCTAATAAGCTATATATAACTATCTTTGTAGTATAGAGTATTACAATAATTCTATGCTAGATTTGTTACTATATGCATGCTAACAACATTTTATTTCAAACAGCAGATTCAGTAGCTGAAACTATAGTCAGTAATTCATTGCAAGTAGCCACTATATATAATAATAGTTGTTCTAGCAGCAAATGGCAGTTATATCAAATATTGTATATTCAACATTATATAAGAGATCAACAGTCACATTTACATATAGAAGTGAGAATAAGTGTAAAACTTGTAGTTTGCACTTTGAAATTATTTGGAAGTTCTTGACTGAGTGTATATAAAAACATTGAAGTGCAAAGTTTGTGTGAGTCAAATGGCTCAGTGGTTAAAGTGTGTATATTCCAGCAGGCAGTTTGAAAGTAGTGAGACTGGGGTTCAATTTTCAATAGAGTAATTTTTTTTGAATATTCAACTTGTATGAAGCTGTTAATATGTTGTATAGCATGAGGAATCTACATAGAATTAAATTTGAGCTTGCTACATTAGTTTTAATACTATGAACACTAAAATAACAGTTGGTGAATATTTAATAAATAGCTAATGAACAGCTAATAAACAGTTCATAAATAAATTATCACATTAGTTTTAATTTGCTATCAGAAAAGCAAGCATCATAAAAGGCTCAGTTAATTAATGTTGATTAGTACTATATCGCAGTAATTAACTTTTTTTTTTTGAAGGAGCTGTATGGTGGGCGGCAGCTGAGAGAGCTCAGGTCCTGCACCGCCAGCATGATTGAGGGTGGGAACACCTGGTGTCCACCGCGAGGAGATGCTCTTACGCACGTAGTGTGGGACTCAGTACCTAGCGGCCATATACATGCCTAAGATTTTCCAGTCCGACTGTCCACTTCCACTCGGGGAGGTGGACAATTAGGTGGCCCGCTACTCACTAAAACCCCGCTGTTCATGGTCCATTTATCTGCTTGGTGTGACCGTTCCTGGGCGATCGAGTTCCAGGTTTGGGCAACTGTTTTCTCTTTTGCGGCCTTTTTGCTAAATCTGGCGTTTGTCATGGCTTCATCAAGGTCGTAGCGACGCTGGATCATGGAGCTTCAGCGGTTCCGGAGTTCGAGTTCTGTAAATATTTTAGTATTGTTGTGTTCGATTAGTCGCTCACAGCGTAGTTTCCAGATGAGGTATGCAAACTCTGATAGGAGGATGCGGTAGAGGCGGGATGCTCCTGTGTTTATGGTATTGTTGGCAGAGCGTAGAGTTATGATGCCACAGTCTAGGATAAGATTAGTTGTGGGCTCGAACTAGTCTGGGCGGGCTGATTGTCAGAGGTTCTTAGCTAGACCCCAGATGTATGCTTGGCCTGGAGCGGAGCATTGGGTGAGTATGTGTTCAAGGTCCTCGAGTTGGTCGCATATGGGGCAGGTCACTCAGTCAATATAGCGGGGGATATTCGTCCAGAATGATCTGATGCGTAGGGCGTTATGGAGCCCTTTGTAGAGGAAGTCTCGTGATTTGTGTTCGATGTCATGGTCGCATGGATGTAGACTTTTCCAGATAGATGCAGTGGTTGGTAGAAGGCCTGTGCGGTCGTCTATGACTAGCTGTATGTCAGAGAGGCATGTAAGGGTGGTGGGGCGGATTGTATGTCCACAAAAGTTGCGGAGGCTGTGATATGAGAGAGACTGGGTGAGAGAGTGTAGTTTAGCTCTCTGTACGTCGAATGTGAGATTGATGCGGAGTAGTGTTTTGTCGGTGCCATCAAAGAGGGCCCCACATGCTGCCTCCATGTCGGCGCTCTCATTGCCTGTGTTGCCGGAGTGTCCTTTGACCCATGCAAAGGTAGTCGGGGTTGAGCGGGCTCGGAGACGATATAGGGCGGAGCGTATTAGATGGGCGTTAGCGACTTCTATCCAGCCGATATCCTCCCAGTGGCTGCAGTGCTGGGTGGAGGCGGCGATCGTGTATTTTGAGTCCGAGACAATGTGTAGTGGTGTGGCTGTGTCTATCGTAGAGCATGCTATTAGCACAGTGAATATCTCACCTGCTTAGTTGGTTTGTATTGGGCCGAGAACTCATATGCCACGGTTGCGGGCATCGTTGGGTGCCAGGTATATTCCGCAACCAGCCCTTGCTGAGGCCATGCCGTTGTGCAGGCATGAGCCGTCGGTGAAGATGGTGATTGCTGTGGCTATGTGGGCTGTTTGTCCTAGAGAGGGGTGGTACGCAGGTTAGATTGGATCTGGATCAGCGGGGCAGAAGGTGCGTACCACTGCTGATAGGTCATCGTTGATGGTCAGGGAGGGGTCAAAGGTGAGGCGGCTTGCTTCTCCGCCAAGGGTAGTGGCCTTATTACGGGCTTGTCTTCAGTCAGTAACAGTGAGGTTATCCACTGGTAGAAGATGGCTGGGGTGCCATCGTAGGCGCAGGTTTGCAATGAGCTCGTTGGCCAGCATGCAGCATTTGTTGGAAGAGCAGCAGCTGGCCTCATGGTTCAGGCGACATGGGTTGCATCCACAGTTTTTGCGGTGTAGGTGGCATTGTGGGAGCTGTGCGTTGAGGCGGACTGTGATGCGAAGTGCATCTGACACTGCGTAGACTCTGTGTATTGACCAGAGGCAGGATGTTTGTGGCAAGGATTGAAGACGTGAGAGTGGCAGTGAGCTACCCAGGTGGTACCAGATAGGCATGCAGCCTTTGGTGTGTTTGTCAAGCTTGGCAGCTGATAGTTTGGTGAATGTGTAGTTCGCCACTTTGATCATGGCTGCTAGATATTCTGGAAGTGGGCGCGCGGTTCTGGGTAGAATGTTGGCCTGTGGGTTGTTTTGTTGTTGCTGGTGTGCGTCGGTTGCTCGGGTACGTTTGCTGACTCCTCAGTGTTGAAGGAAGTGATTGATGCGTGCTTTGGGGGCAATGTGCATGAAGCTTTGGAGGATGTGGCTGCTGTATAGATATGCTGCTATGTATGTTCACATTGGGCGGTGCGGCGAGAAGTCTAGGTAGGATCGAAGCCAGAGTAAGTTGATTGCTTAGTTGCGTAGGTGTAGATTAAGAAGTTTGATATCTCCTTCTTCGATCAGAAGGCATAAGATATTGTAGGAGATTGGTGGGACTGTCGAGTTATCCCAAATAAAGTCTCGTATGATTCAAGTGAGAGTTTTTTCAATGTGGGCCAACATGCCCATGACACGTGTGTGATACTGGCTCATGCCACCCACGATCATGTATACAATGAGACATTTTCCATCGAGAGTGGGTTTGCAGCGGCTCCAGCAATGGAGTCCTTCTCTGATTTTATCGATGCGGGGGCCCCAGACTATGAAGGGTGTTATGCAGTTTCCAATGTGGGCACCAAAAAGGCGAACTGCCTTATTGTCGGCTGCTATGTGGGTGTTCGCAGGGATTTTCACTGGCATATAGGAGGAGCGTTTAGGTTGGAGGGAGCGCATTGTGGTTATAGATGTGCGGTAAGAGGGCAAGCCGATGGGAATAACTTCAGTTTTGGTGACATTGAATCGAGCCCCTGAGACGATGCACCAAGTGGATAGTATTGTGGAGAGGTCCAAGAAGCTGTCATGTTCTGACAGGTACACGGTCGTGTCATCTGCGAAGAATGTTACGAGGAGGCAGTTAGGAGCCGATGGGATCTAGAAGCCGGACAGGTTGCTCTGGCATAGCATGCATGCGAGAGGTTCAATTGCCAGGTTGAAGAGCAGGCAGGAGAGGGGATCGCTTTGTCTCACACCCTGAATGACTTGAAATGGAGTGCTGCATTCCCCGTTGATGATTATTGAGGTGTATGCATGTGAGTAGAGGGATTTTACCGTGCTAATTAATTGTGGTGGCAGGTTGAATTGTTTCAGGGTGCACCACAGGTAGGTGTGTTGTATCCAATCATAGGCTTTTTCGTGGTCCAGGGCAAGGATTGCGCCATTGGACTTGGTCACTTCAGCGTAGTCAATCATGGCTTGGGCAAGGCGGACTTGATCAAAAATTTGTCTATTGAACATGAAGCCTGCTTGGTTTTCATGGATTACCTCAAATACTACGGTCAGTAGTTTATTGGCAAGCGATTTAGTGAACATTTTGTAGTCAGAGTTGAAGACTGTGATTGGGCAGTAATTGCTGATAAGCTCGCAGTTGTTCTTTTTGTAGGTTGGACAGAGCCATCCTTCGGCGAAGTCTGTTTTCATATCAACTTCAAAGAGTTTGATGTCATTGCAGACGAGTTGGAAGGCCTTGATGATGTCAAAGGCAGCATTGTCTCCATTGTTCAGTGTGAGGGCGTATTGGCGTGCAAGGTGTTTTCAGAATTTGTAGGGTATTCCGTCAAGGTCTGGTGCTTTGCCAGAGGCTGTTGAGAGCTGATGCTATGTCTTGGTATGTTAAAAGGTCAGATAGGAGTTCGGATGTGTCATTAGATAGGCGATGGTCGACGGCTTGTGTGGCTGTGCAGGTGGCTAGAGTGAGTGAGGCAAAGCTAAGTTCTTCAGAGTCTGTTTGTACCTTATCGTGGTAGTCACGAGCAAGTTCTGCCATGTGGTCAGAGTGGGTTTTCTGGTGTGGGTTGTTCAGGCATTCTAGGGAGTATATTATGTTGCATGGTTTCAGTTTGTGTGCAACTGAAGACCAGTAGCAACTTACAGTTTCACCCATTATTCTGTATTGGGCTGAGGATATTTTGTGGTTGCAGTCGTTTCTTTGGCGTTTGAGGTCGCTAATGTAATTTAGTAGCAGGCTGGTCTCATGTTGGCTGTCAGGGTTTGTTTTGATGTCTGGTTGTGCCAGGATTGTGTTTTGCTGGATGCGTAGGTTTCTGGTTTTGGCCTCCATTTTGGAGATGGCTGTACGGGCTTGTTTGCGGATTTTTGATACAACTTCCTTTTTTAAAAATGCCCAGAGTGTCTGCGGGTTAAGTTCCAGAGTGCGTTGGGTGTGGGCGAGGTCTAACTGGGTAAGGAGGTCTTTGCCCTGTTGTTGTATGTAGGGGGTGATTTCTTCATCATGCATGAGGAAGAGCGGCATTGACTAGCGGCCTGGTCCAATGAAAGGGGCTTGTCGGTTGACTAGCCGGGTGGATACCATGCTGTGGTTGGTTAGGAAGCCTGTTTGTGTGATGGCCCATGGGATGCAGTTTAGAGCAGGTTGCGTGATGTATAGATGCGGCCAATGCGGGATTGGCTGCCTGTGCTGCCTTGGTAGAAGGAGAAGTCACGGGTGTCTGGGTATGTGGCGCACCAGCTGTCATAGAGGTTGAGGCAAGTTTTGAGAGCATTGAGTTCAGTGACAGCTTTGGCATGGTCTGCGTGTGGTGGGAAGCGATCAAGTTCATCCTCGATCAGGTTAAAGTCATCTAGCATGATGTTTGCTTTCGGGATCGGGGGTTTGTTCAGCTTCCAGATGTCAGAGAGCTGGGTCCAGAAACACTGGTTGTCTGAAGGGTCGTTTGAAGCGTATACGTTTAGTAGGTGTATTGTGCGGTCGCTCTGCCAGAGAATGCTAAGGAGCAGGGCGCGGCCTGGTATTAGAATACGGATTTGAGCGCCGGTTGTGCTTAAGAGTCCTATGTTGACTGCAAAAGCTACTCTGCATGCATTTTGTGTTAGTGGGTTGGGGGAGTGGAAGACAGTGAATCAGTGACTGTACTGTTCAGAGATACGGACCAGGAGTTCGTCTGTTAGATGTGTCTCTTGGAGTCCTAGAATGGCTATCTTGTGTGTTCTTATGATGCAGTTGACGTCTGCCTATTTGGATGCAGCGTGTGCACTTGTGCTGGTGCCTCGGCCTCTTATATTGAGGGAGGCAACATGTAGATTGCCCCTGGTTTTGCGGTGTCGCGGGCGTGGCATAAGTGGCATGTGAGGTGGGGTTATAGGCAAGGTAGCCATTGTTGTGGATGGTACGGGGGGAGTGTGCAGGTGGTGCAGCACTGGTGGTGGTGCCGGTTTGTTGTGGCCATCTGACGGCTCGTTTAACAGAGCCAGGGACAGCTGACTGGCAGCACTTTGGGTGTTGGCAGCCGGTGAGGGCAGGGGCCCTTCGACTGGCCTGTCGCCTATCTCAGCATACCCAGGGAGCAAGTCGACAGGCAGGCCCACTCCCTTAATGGGCACGCTGAGGAGTAGCCTTATTTGAGCCTTACAGGGAGCTCGAACTGGAGACATTGCATTTTTTACCTCAGTATAATCAGTTTTGCTTGGGGGATGGGCAATCTGTGCGTACTGCACCTCAGAGTGCACAGGCACTGTAGAGACACAGCTGTTGCAGTTAGCAGTTTTGACACTGCACAACTAGCCCACTTAAAAAGGCAGCTGGACGCCGAAGCATCAAGTATTGGGTGCAAAAATAGAGGAGGCGGCCTCTCTGGCTTTCCTGTCCTGCGAACGGTCAGTAAATGTGGGCCAGAGAGGGCGGACAGCAGCATGAGGGCCTGGTACAGCTGCCGACCTTGGGGAACTGGGCCACTGCCTTTATGTTAGGGGACCCAGACACTTTCGAGAGTGTTCAGACCAGCATAAGGAACCAGTCATCAGTTTGGGTTGGGTGGCCAACTGGGTGCTCCTGGGAGCTAGCTGGGCGATCACATTTGGGACAAGGTGAGCAGGAATGTGTAGTATACTCAGGCATCTAGGTAGAGTATGTACATGGTGCTATTGTCAACTGTGGTACGGGCTTCAGCAGTAACTTGCGCTCTGGCTCTGTCTGCGACCGTGGCTACGGCTATGGTTGCGGTCTCCGCGCATTTGAGGTACCTGCTGAGGGTTGTCGGTGTCATTCGTGTGTAGCAGGTGTGCCGGAATAAGCTAGTCTTCTTTGAGATTGATTGTGGTTGGTGGCGGGCTCTGCTAGCCATCAAGCAGAGGATATTGGCACAGGCCGAGTAGGTGATCAGCTTCGAGGCATCCTGGGCATGGGTTTGCATTCGGGCAGATGTGGCCAGTGCCGAAGAAGTTGTGAGCAAACACGTGCTACGTGACTGTGTTGCGGAACTGGCGCCATCGGCGCGGGTCTAGCGTTAGTGGATCAATATACAGGTTTGCGAGTGGCCAGGAGGTTTAACCACCGAGATCAGTCATTTTGATCACAGTTACTTGGATGGACATGAGCAGGTGTGCCATAGCCTGTTCGCGCATTTTATCTGCGAACTAGGGATGCGACGTGAGAAGGTAGGCAAGGAGCTGTGCCAAGGTGCCACGGGAGAAGTCCGATATAAAGACGCCACAGATGGCTCCCGTCTCGTAGGTGTTGAAGCCAGGGAACTGTCCGATGTGTGTTGGAAGTGGTAGAGGCGTCGTGGGCCAGCAAAAGAACGTACAGGGGGACGTGGACCAGCAGAACCTCTCGATGAGGCTATCGTGCTCTTTCAGTGATAGGTCATAGATCTCGTAGAGGAAGAGGCCGTCGGAGTGGCGGTGGCCTTTGGATCTCAGGGCCGCTACTCGTGCGTGTGTGAAGCCGAGTTTATGGAGGGTCTTCTCAAAAATGAAGACTATCTGGCCTTGGTCTGTCCAAAGGGTGGCGTGAAAGTGGACGGCAAACACGACATGGCCAGTGAGGACTTCCCAGTTGATGAATTGTGACATTAACTGGCAGTGGTGTAACACAGAAGTATACTGGTGGGAGGCCGAATGTGGGGATGGGCATGAGGTTGGTGGGAGCATTGAGAACTATCTCGTCGTCGTCGTCTTGGTACATCTCGTTGAAGGATGCTGCGCTGTGTGGGTGATCTTTGTTCTTACTGCCTGCGCTGCCCATCTCTTTGTTCTCTGGATGTTGGAGGTGTGGCTGGCTGGGTTGTGCTACAGGTCGTGCGGCAGAGCGTGCAGTGCATCACGCCGGAGTGTTTGCGTGTATGGAGCGGTTA